ATGGCACGGGTGACACAGGACTCAGGGGCTGTTGCAACACCCATGGTTGGGACTTATGCTTCAACTGTCCTACATTCCAGGTTCATAGCCAGAAATTCTGAAGTGAGGAGGCCGAAGGCAGTAGGGAATCATTGCAACAGATGAAACACAAGTAGTCTGAAAGATCTGGAATTACATTAGTCTGCGTTATTTCTTTGTAAGCAATTAGGTAAAATATTGGCTACGCACCTGCTTATAACTCAACAAAAAAAAAGGCTACAAAGTTGAATTTAAAAAGGAAGAAAGAACACTCAACATTCTGGAAGGGGGCATGGAATATCTCCAGCTGGGCTAGGCTCCTATAGTCCTGCCGCCTTCTTTTTTTACCTTGCCTTATAGCTACAGTGAGGGACGCGGGTGGCGCTGTGGGTTAAACCACAGAGCCTAGGGCTTGCCGATCAGAAGGTCAGTGGTTCGAATCCCCGCGACAGGGTGAGCTCCCGTTGCTCGGTCCCTGCTCCTGCCAACCTAGCAGTTCAAAAGCACGAAGTGCAAGTAGATAAATAGGTACCGCTCTGGCGGGAAGGTAAACGGCGTTTCCATGCACTGCTCTGGTTCGCCAGAAGCAGCTTGGTTATGCTGGCCACATGACCCGGAAGCGGTACGCCGGCTCCCTCGGCCAGTAAAGCGAGATGAGCACCACAACCCCAGAGTTGGTCACGACTGGACCTAATGGTCAGGGGTCCCTTTACCTTTACCTTTATAGCTCTAGCAGTAGACAACCTGATTTTCTGATACTTGTTCCAGGTAAAACATTTTCCCCATTTTATCTTCTGGAGATATGTCAGGGATGCCTTTAAAATTTTTTATTATTGTGCACTCGCATGTGCTAGACTTGTGTGAATTTCAGCCCCCTCCTCGTTCCAGGTGACCTGTTTATTGAGCATTCTTCCTGATTTGTTTGCATGCACTTTGCAAGGAGGTTAGAAGACCTTGGCCATTTATTGAGCATTCATTCTGATTTGTTTGTGGGTGGTCTCATGACATTGCATCAACAAAGTGTTACTCCACCTTTAAGTGCATTTCCCCATCCTTTTTACCAAAAATAAAAATAAAAATCCATTTTTGGGGGAGAAACAAGTAGTGTTGAATGTACATAAGTAAAATCTTCTATCATTTCAATGCCTTGGTACATAAAAAGTGATGTTGTTACCATAAAGTAATGTTGTTAATCATAAAATCTATATCGTAAGAATATTTAAATACGGTATATATAATGTTACACAATAATGTTTTGTTTAATTTTCTAATTTAATGAGGCAATCAGTCCCAGAGAACTCAGCTTGATGGGCTATTTGTAATTAAATAAGATCATTTCATTGAGTTTACTAAGTAATTAAGATCCCAGAAAAAAATCAATCAAATCAGATATATATATCCCAGTTTAAACTAATCCCAGAAATTACTTAATTTAATATCTCTCCAAGCAACATATGTGGATTTATTACATTTCACATTCTTTTCTTTCAGTAAGAAATGGGCATTTAAAAAAAACCACAAACCAAATCTATTATCCTGTCATCAATCTTTTCTAATTATGTTTGTTTTATCAGACCTTAGCAAATTTTCTAATCCAGGAAGGTCTGCTTTTCTGTTACTGTTAGAAGATTAATGATCATTCTTGAGGAAATTATTACATTGCTGTTGCTAACAAATTATTAGAATACACAGATACATTTGACCCTTGTGACATATTTATTATGGCACAACTATTCATGGGCTACAGCTAGGGGTAGATGAACTCGTCAGTTTCATTTTCTCTCAATTTGTAAATCCCCCCCAGTTTGCTAAGTTTAGTTCTCCACATTTTTGCATTAGTTCCTTAAAAAAGGACTCATGAAAATTTATCAGCATTTTAGAGCAAATTTATCCTAATATACATATTGCTGGATATACATGTATTTGCAATTCATTTCCTCATATAAAATGCATTTTTGTATGTTAGTTTCACCAATATATGCATTTTTATGTACGCTTTACCCTGGCACATACATTTTCGTACGCATTACTTGGCTTGAAAACCACATTGCAAAATTCAGAGAAGTGTAACTTTTGAAAGAGGGCTGTGTTTCGTTTTGTGTATTGCTCCTGAAAACGCAGGTTTGGTAGATTCATCTTTACGTCAATGAAATGGATGAAATTTCCCCTTCACTCCTAACTACTGTCCATCAGGTGCATGAAATGGCATCTTGAGTTGCAGGAACCAAATCTACATAGTTGGGGGGGGGCTTGTAAACATGAAGGTCAGCAAGAAATAAAACGTAGAAAGGGACAGACCTTGATAATGGCCTTATTAACAGGGACTATTCACTGTGGCAAACCCAGACACCGGTTCTTGTCCCCCAATCTACTGTGGCAGCACCTTTGGGGAATATTCCATTTCTGAATTTCCTGAATGCATCCCCCTTCGCCTCTGCGACTCTATGAAACGAAACATTTGTCAAGCTACCTAACACGAGGGCTGGGAAAATGCTATGTTCTGTATAGTCTGAAGCAGTCAGGTGGCCAAACTGGTGAGGACATTTTTAAACCTCTCAGTATTTGGCACACTGGGTCTCTCCTAGCCCTATTAGGAGATGCAGGGAAATTCAGCCTTTGATCTTCTGCATGCAAATCATGCGGTCTCCCACTAAACCACAGCCTTAGCACATTCAATGAAAAACAGACCTGAGGTTTGACAGAAACCCGCTGAGACCAGGAAACAATAGTAGCTAAGCTCCCGCTGTTGACATACGCAGAAGCTAAGAAATGAAACTTAAAGGCTGTGGGGAAGGTCTGATCACTGCTGATCGAGGCAGCTGTCACTCACACAACCCAGCAGGGTGTGTGTGTGTCATCAAGTCCCAACAATTGAATGCCAGTGGATTAGGGGGCAGAAATCATATAATTGTTCTGTGTCAAGTTACATTTCGTGAAAGAATCAGTTGCCATAACTTGGCTTAGGATATATCTTCTTAAATCCATTTTTGATGCTGCGTGGCATGATAATTTATTTTTTTTTTTTGGGGGGGGGGAGTCCAAGTTATGCTGGTGAGATTTACCATACTTTTCTCCTTCCTCAGGAGGAAATTGCACTGATCTCAGTCAGGGCTTATTCCCTAGAAAGCATACACAGGACTGGTCATATTTAGGAACGACAGTTCAATCCTATACTCAGAAGTAAGCCCCATTGACTTCAATGACACAGCCAGGTAAGGTATAATGGATGTCAACCTCATTGGATTCAGTGGGCACTCTGTGTAAGCGCACATATAGGATCAGGCTCAGGGCCGGATTTAGGTTTAATGAGGCCCTAAGATACTGAAAGGAATGTGGGTGGCGCTGTGGGTAAAACCTCAGCGCCTAGGACTTGCCGATTGCATGGTCGGCGGTTCGAATCCCCGCGGCGGGGTGAGCTCCCGTCGTTCGGTCCCAGCTCCTGCCCACCTAGCAGTTCGAAAGCACCCTTAAGTGCAAGTAGATAAATAGGTACCGCTTTATAGCGGGAAGGTAAACGGCATTTCCGTGTGCTGTTCTGGTGCCGGCTCGCCAGAGCAGCTTCGTCACACTGGCCACGTGACCCGGAAGTGTCTGCGGACAGCGCTGGCTCCCGGCCTCTAGAGTGAGATGAGCGCACAACCCTAGAGTCTGTCAAGACGGGCCTGTATGGGCAGGGGTACCTTTACCTTTTAAGATACTGAAGGTAATGGGGCACTTTATATTTTAGGGAGCAGGCTGGCAGGCGCGGCCCATTACTTACATTCGTTGTGCCCGGACACTGAGGACGGTTCCCTCACTACGAGAAGTGAAGTTACAGGGAACCAGGCAGAGGGCCTTCTCGGTAGTGGCACCCACCCTGTGGAACGCCTTCCCACCAGATGTCAAAGAGAAAAATAACTACCAAACTTTTAGAAGACATCTGAAGGCAGCCCTGTTTAGGAAAGTTTTTAATGTTTTATAGGTTATTGTATTTTAGTGTTTTGTTGGAAGCCGCCCAGAGTGGCTGGGGAAACCCAGCCAGATGGGCAGGGTATAAATAAATTATTATTATTATTATTATTATTATTATTATTATTATTATTATTATTACATCATAGGAACCTACACAACACAAAACACTGTTGCTGTACGTAGGTTTTATTTTATTTGTTTTATTTTTTGGAAATCTACATCCATTTTTTTTCTTTAATTTTTTTTGCGGCCCCCAAGAGAGGCCCCAAGCTATAGCTTGTTTAGCTCATACGTAAATCCGGCACTGATCAAGCTCAAACAACACAGGTGCCCGTCAGCAATATTATTTGAAATCACCATGATTAAAAATCATCCCTGGAGGGCATCTAGATAAAAGGCAGTCTGCAGTGGCACAGCATTAAACTAAAAACAAGTATCTGCTCACCCCTCCATGCGGGCATTAAAAAAAAACCAACGTACCGGACCCTGCTTATCTAACCCCCTCCCTCTTTAATAATTGAAAATGCAGAAGCGCGCCTAACGTGTGATCCAGTGCCGGATTTACGTATAAGCTAAACAAGCTATAGCTTAGGGTCCCACTCTCTTGGGGCCCCCCAAAAAATGTAAAGGAAAAAAAACCTGGTTGTACATTTCCAAAATATAAGACAAATAAAATAAAACTAGCCTGCTCGCCTGCTCCCTAAAGTATCACTGGTTTGCTCCTATTAGGTCCATAAATTACCATATAGCATATATTCAACACACACAAAAACAGTCCAGCTGTCCTTTGTTGTTGACAAAGGACAGCTGGACATATAAAGGGCCCCATTACCTTCATCAAACCTAAGCCCGGCTCTGGTGCGGTCCCTTTTCTGCTGGAAGCGGGTGGGGGCGGAGCTGCTCCGGAGCCGCGCTTAAGTTTCACTTTCCAAGCTCTTCTCTCAAAAGGGGAAATCAAAACTCATCTCGGCGGCTCCGCTCTGCCCTCTAGCCGAGGCGCGCCGCGCTCAGAAGGGAAGCTTGGCAAGCGAGGCGCGGACGGGCTCGTTTCCACGCTCGTGGAAAGCGAAGTGAAGCGGGGCAACGAGGAGATCCGGGCGGCTGGCGGTCGAGGCGCAGTAAGTCCCAATTCTTCTCGTGCTCAAACGTTGCATATTCCGTTTGCTTGCTTGTTTTTTTTTTTTTTGAATATTTCAGCTCTTCGGAGAGAGTCGGTGCTCCACTTGCTTTGGGAAAATAGCGCTGTTTGCACGAGACTCTTAGTCCCTGGGTCGTGGGTTCGAGTTCTGCCATGCAGCGGGGTGGACTAGATGACCCAATTTTGTGATTCAGTCCTTAACTTCATTCTACCGGGATGGCTCTTTGCGATTAGGAACGCCTCCCCAGACTTATCAGCAGGCTGACAAAAAACTACTTGTTGAGAAACAAAATAATAGGGAATAGAAAGGAGCCCCAGAGGGTTCATTGGGTTCACTCAAAAATTAAAGGGTGCAGGGTTAACTGAGCGACATGGATAAGGGATCCTATTCTGCCTCCGTTTTTAACTCAGAAATTGGCATACTCCTATAGCAGAGAAAAATTGGTCTGTCCTATTTAAAAGTGCATCATCAGGTGGAGCTGAGAGAGTCTCTTGCTGAAGTCCGGGTTCACTTACTGCTCTCCAGATGTCTCTGCCTTCAATTCCCTCCAACCCCAGCCATCACCTGGCAAAATTTTTGACCCTGGTCTGAATGCTTATGTTGCCCCTACAATGCCACCACTTTAGACCGCAGTGCTTATAACTTCACTTCTGAACCACACCATTAACATTTATCTTCTTCCTGATAAGTTAGATCAAAACCCCCAAATTTGCCAGCCAGCCCTGTAATGAGGGGGAAAGAGAAAGAAATACTCTGAGCATGTGCAGGTTTTCATTTTAAACTCACGTACATCACAGCACCATCGTGAACTTCAGAAATAAAATGGCATTTGCTGCAGCTGCTCTGGTGCTAAACACATTTGCATGGGAGTAAACACCATTTTGTTGTAGGAAAGGGTAATATATGTTTAAAGTGGAAAAGAATAAAATGTACCTGCCTGGCCAACTGCTCCAGATATATGACATTAAAGAGAATAAAAATAAGAAATGATGATGCACGGTGACCAGCAAGCCCTTCTCCCCCTCCTGGAAAAAATAGCAGCAGCAGCAACAACAAGACATGAGATAAAATGAGGGGCTTGTTTGGGGGGGGTAAAGTGATTTGCATGTTGTCTACTTGTGTTGCATTATAGTACGTTTGATGGGTCAGAGAGCTGGACGTCCAAAGCCAAAAAGGACATTCAAGCTGGAGGAATATCAGACGATGACGGCCGAGGCAGATGAGGAGAGCTCTACAGAGGAAGCTTTGGAGACGTGCAGCCAGAAGCTCCAAGAGATTTGTGGGATGGCAGACTCAAGAAATGGTACTTTTTATTTTTTTCTTATATTTTCATTTCTTAGGGGTGGGGAACCTTAGGCCTGGGGACTGACTGTGGCCCTCTGGGACTCTCTGTCTGGCCCTTGGCACACACACCCTCTCCCAAGCCACGCAGCTGTCCCCAGGCCACACCCCTCACCACCCCTGCTTCAGACCCTCCTCAAATGTTTTTGCCTGGCCGAAATGTGTTCTTGAACTCTGATAAGACTTCTTGCTTGTCTGAGTGGAAGGTGAAGAGCAGGATGTGAGTGTGTGTAGAAATTACCTGGAGCTCAATGGTATGTTTATCTTCCTTGTCTTTGGTGATCGCTCGTAGCCAAGTAAGATTGTCTTCCATGGTCTCAACGGTGAGTTCGTAAGTGACTGTGGAGGCCAATTCTAGATCCACATGTCCTTCCACAGTGGGGACATAGGTTTATGGGAGGGAGTTGATAATGGTGAGGGTTTGCCAAGCATGCCTTCCTCTTAGCACGTTTCTCCCTTGCGTCCTGAGTTCAAGCGTTTTTAAAGCCCACGACGCCTTTGGTAAAGGCTGTTCTCCAACTGGAGTGCTCGCAGGCCAGTGTTTCCCAGTTGTTGGTGTTTATACTACATTTTTAAAGATTTCCCTTGAAGCTTTAAACCTCTTTTGTTGACCACCAGCATTACGGAGAATATTCTCACCTCGAATCACCAGTTTTGGCTTGTGCAGTGTTTTGAAAACGGTGAACCTTTAACGGTGAACTTAAATCAAATTTATCCCCCCCACCACCAAGTTTCATGTAATTTAGCCTTAGATTCTATGCCTATTTACACTGAAGTAAGTCTACCCCCCCGCATGAAACCTAATCCAAAGAAAGTGTTCATAGGATTGCAACCATAAGTCAAAAGCGCGCCATTCTCCCGGCCCTTAACCAAAGCTGCTTGTCTGGCTGCTGTCTCTTATTTCCAGGAGCTGTTGGCCTGTACAATATTGGACTAAACTGCTGCCTCAACTCCTTGCTTCAGGTCTTCTTCATGAACAGACAGTTCACTATGATACTCCGGAGGTGAGTGAGGATTTCCCCACCATCCGGCACAGTGCTTCGGATCAAAATCTCTTTCTCTAGAGGGCGGCGGGGTCAGGGGAATACTTAATTTGGGTTGCCATATTTCAAGGAGTAAAAATCTGGACAAAAAAGTTGTTGAGCTTTTTTGGCAATGACCGAAACCATGCACAAAATAATAATAATACTAATAAGTTAAATAAATAAATAAATGGAAGATTAAAAACCAAACCTCCCCAAACCTGGACAGTTGCTATAACTTGTAAAAATGCACATAGGCCTCCCAAAAGAGGACATGTCTGGGATTTCCCGGACTTATGGCAACCCTAGCTTAATTTTAAAATGGAGCATTTTTTCCACCCTCCAAGGGCAGTGGTTTGGATTCAAATCACTGTCCCTTTTTTTTTTTTTAAGCAAGCGATTTTAAAATCAACATTTGTAGACTCCTACTTAGGAGTAGCTGAACCCAGGTACAGACAACTTGTACACAGGTACTAGATAGCATTTCCATGCACTGCTCTGGTTCGCCAAAAGCAGCTTAGTCATCCTGGCCACATGACCTGGATGCCGGCTCCCTCGGCCAATAAAGCGAGATGAGCGCTGCATCCCCAGAGTCAGCCACGACTGGACCTAATGGTCAGGGGTCCCTTTACCTTTACTAGATAGCATATAAAGGCCCCTTAGACCATAAGAAGAGCCTTCGGGATAAGACCCATCTAGTCTGCTTTCCTGTTCTCACAGTGACCAGCTAGATACCTATAGGAATCCCACAAGCAGAACCTGAGTGCAAAAGTCCTCTCTGCACTTTTGATTCGCAATAACTGGCTTTCAGAGGCATATCACCTGCAACAGTTGAGGGAGAACAAGCCATCATGGGTAGTAGTTACTGACTGACTTACCCTCCATGAATTTTTCTTATCTGCTTTTAAATCCATGCAGGTTGCCATAGCCACATCTTTGCAGATGCAAATCCCATCGTTTATGGAGTGTGGAAAGCCAACCCTGGCATCGAAACCTTTGCTAGGTTCCTGCTTAAACTTCCATTTAACGGATGCATTTGCAAGTCATTAAATGTGTGATTACACTTCGTTCTTAAAAAAAACAGAAACCCTTTCCGTTGTGACTTTTCTTCATGGAAGGGTGGTTGAGATGGCAGCCTTAAAGCACAAGGCCCCGTGTTTTCTGAATTTAAAGTGCGGTGATAGCTTTCCTTCTTTCTGTTGCCAGGATCAAAGTGCCCTTTGAAGCTGCGGAGCAGAAAGCAAGCGTCCCTTATCAAATGCTCTTGCTTCTGGAGCAGATGCAACGGAGCAAGAGGAGATCTGTGCATCCCTTGGATCTTGTCCGCTGCCTCTCAATGCACAATGTGAAATGTAAGGAGCAGGTGGAGTCTTTCTGGTTCCCGTAGGGAGGTGTCATTTGGAGGGTAGGGGTTGCTTATACAGTGGTGCCCCGCAAGACGAATGCCTCGCAAGACGGAAAACCCGCTAGACGAAAGGGTTTTCCGTTTTTGAGTTGCTTCGCAAGATGATTTTCCCTATGGGCTTGCTTCGCAAGACGAAAACGTCTTGCTAGTCTTGCGATTCCCCCCCGCTTCCCCCCCTTTTTCTAAGCCGATAATAGCCTTTTAGCAGCTAAGCCGCTAAGCCTTTAATAGCCGCTAAGCCGCTAATAGGGTTGCTTCGCAAGACGAAAAAACAGCTAGACGAAGAGACTCGCGGAACGGATTCTTTTCGTCTTGCAAGGCACCACTGTAGTTAATAACTGCCCTCCCCCTATAGAACGTGTGCAGAGGTGTTTTGATAAACGACTTCAGAAACAGTAGTCAGGCTGTGTTTGTGGATTGATGGGGCAAGAATGGAAGGTTGGCTGCTAAAAATACAGAGAGAGCATTGGAATCTGGAGGAAAGGGGCGAAAATAGAGGAATTTGGGAAAGGCATAAACAAGCCGTTGTGCTAAATTTTGCTTGCGCCTCTTCCTTTTGTCTAGTGCTTGTTCTGTATGATGCTTCTCAACTCTTCTTGATCCTCTGGAACCTAATTAAGGACCAAATCACAAATGTGAATCTGGTAAGAGTCCGGATTTTGCAAAGGAAAACATGTTGCTTTCGTGTTGTATGCAGACACAATGAGTTACCTGCAGAGGCCCTTGAAGTATAGCCAAGAATACTTTTGTCCCTTGTTGAAAAATCAGAACTTATGATGCAGGCTTATGTTCGGAGCCCTGCCAGAGAGTTCTGTGTAACTCCGCAAATAAATCAGTTAGGGTAGCAGAAATGGGATCAGCTCCTCTGGATCTCTCCCCACCAATGGCTACTATTTAAGAAAACATGCAGTTGAAATCACACTATTATTCTAACTTGTAATATGGCTCTGGGTTGTGCCCTTTTAATTTGCAGAGTTCCTATCACACATAAAGTACAAAACCCAGAAGTACGTAACAAAGACTTTGATAGCATAAACTTAAATATACTGAGTACACAACTCTCTCCAGGATCCTTTAATCTGATTCACCTTCCCCTGCCCTGCTCTCCATTTAAAATACACTGTGATCTCATATTCTGTTTATTAACTTTATAAACAGCATTTTCATTCAAAAATGAAAAAGTGTATTTAATTAAAAAATAAAATTAATCCAACCATCTTTTTTTGGGGGGGGGGGAACACACAGCCTAGTAATAAAACAATAGTAAATATAGACAAGAAAGCAGGATAGCCACCATCTTGGATGGCTTTCAAAGAAGATTAGACAAATGTCTGCGTTAGATCTGCTGAATAGAGGATTCTGTAGTGAGGCAGATAATTGGGCTTGGTGATGGCTTTCTGCTTGTTTTCACTCTAATGTGCACCAGTTTGAGGCCTGTCAGTGGAATCACGCAAAGAGCAGTGCTTGTTGACAACACAGAACACATTATTTATTTGCTTCTGGTTTTCTCCTCCCGTCTCTTTAAGGTTGAAAGCCTGGATCTCCTGCACACCATCCAGCTGCAGCAGAACCTAGTGTGTCAAAAGTGCTCAGCTGAAATGAAGAAGGAGAGCAACTTGCTGATGTTCCCACTCCCAATGTTTGATTCTGATTCTCACCCAGTCAGGACATTGGTATGTGAAGAGGGTCTCCATCGCACTGTGCTTCATCCTATTTAAGCAAATGGGTCAGAACTGGGTTTCTAGTGTAGTGCTCCCTCCTGTCCTGTAGAGGGCGTGCTCATACTGAAAGCCTAATATCAGCACAGTGTTTCTGCTGCGGAAGGGCCCCAGAAATGGAAAGTGGGGCAGAGGAGGCTAAACAAAGAAACAAAACTCCAGAAAGATTGGTTGGGGAGGAAGGGGAAGACTCTTGCTGTACTCAACACGTTGATAAATGGTTTCAGATCATTTTCTAGGGCTCTGCAACCAACTGCACCACCTTGCTTGCTGTTCCTGGGGAGCAGAGCTTTTCTGCCGAGGGATGTGCTGAATGGAGTTCTGATGTATGGAGAGAGTGAGAGGCTGAGAGTGGGGGGGGGTGATCCCCAGACTTCTAGAAAAGTGCTTCTAGTTCTTCTTCAACATGTCCAGCCTTAGGAAAACAAAACTTCTGGGGCTGCCAGTGTCTCTCTGTTTCAGTATGTGACAGGGACTCTGCACAAAATGGAGGCAACTGCCCATACAGTCTCTGTCAGGCATCACACTGCCATTACTGTGGTCACGGCTTCAAGGGGATGCTCACCTGTGTCAAGTGTGTGCATGTGGACAGGTGGGCCAAAGCAGTGGCCAATAGGGCAAAGTAAGAGGCAATGATGGTCATTTAATATTAAATTTACATACCACTCTTCACCTGAAGATCTCGGGGTAGACAGATGTGGGAGAACTTGGCAAATATGGCCTGGCATAATGGGTGATGGTGGGTACTTACCTTGTCTGAAGGTAGACTTTGAGACACAACAATCCAGTGTAGTAGCATATCTGAAATCAGGCTAGAGCCTAAACGGAAGGATTAGCAGAAAACCCCATGGATGCTGCTCCAGACTCCTTGGATGCAAGTGTAACAACTTTTTAAAAACCAATGTTTCCTACTGGGTTGAAGACCTGTGTATTTTCCAGAAATACACACAATGTGCAATTGGTACAGACACCTTGTTATCACATCAGGAGCAGGGGGGCTGTCAGATAAAAGCAACTTGTAGCCCTCCAAATTCTTCTGGATTCTCACTCGCATCAGTTCCAATCAGCAGGAATTCCTCTGGTCACGTGGGACTAATCTCTGCTCTTTGCCTTATTCAATCCTTCTAGGGAGATTCATTGCGTTGTTTCTTTGCGCCGGAACAGCTGGTGGATGACAATGCATGCCACTGCGAACAGTGTGGCTTGGAAACGCCACATCTACGGGTAATGTTGCCTTTGAAGGTTAATTGGCAATTCAAGCCTTGGAGCTTCATGTTGTTTCCATGTTGGACGAGAATATTTGTTCATAGAAGAATCATGGGGTCTGCCTTTTGGGCATTATTGGCAGGGCATTTTGAATACAGAAGGTCCCAGATTCAATCTCTGGCATCTCTAGGTAGTGCTGAAATTCTGGAGAGCTGCGGCCTGTCAGGGTAGATGAGACTCAGCTAGATGGAGCAATACTCTCGGGTACACACTGAGTCCAGACAGTTGTTAACATTAAACCAAATAAACAAGTTTATTTTATAAGCATTAACAAGTTTATGGTTTCAGATAATTTTTCTTGTCAGTTTCTTAATCTTAGTTTCTTTACTGACCTATACCTTCCTAATACCTTCTAACTGATTTTCCCAACTGTTTAACTGACTCCTCTTAACAGATTCTCTCACTCTCTCACATCAAACTAGCCCAACCCACAGACTTATCCTCCCTCTCCCTTCTCTAACTCCAGACTCACTTCTTAACAACTCTAACTCTAACTCCTCCCCTTGGGTTCCTATTGGTTAATCATTTTACACTTAGTTAACCTTTTCCTTATGACCCAGTATGATGTCACACACCTAGAAGGGCAAACGCCACAGTGACTAGTGGCAATTTGCTAAACGCAGCATTTGGATCCAAGTAATTTCGTTGTCCCCGAGAGGGGGTAATGACAATAAAGATGATATTATTATTATTATTATTATTATTATTATTATTATTATCATCAGAAGGGTTAAAAGGGCGTGGTTTCCCTGGATCAGTAGTCCCTCCCTTGCTTTGCAACTATTTTATGCTGACCACTGTATTCCAGTCTTTGTCTTTCATTCTTGGTGTGCATCGATTTTGCAGGGCCTGAGAGTTACACGTCTGCCACAGACATTGATGCTGCACCTAAAGCGTTTCTGCTGCACAGAAGGCAGCCAGACCCGGAAAATCAGCCATTCCTTAGCCTTCCCACAGAGCCTAAATTTCAGTGAGATCCTGACGCCAGAACAGTACAACCAGGATGCACAGGAGGTGGGACACTTACCTGCATCATCATTCACTTCGGACTTAGAAGGCATAATGAAATGGCCCAAAGCAGGTGTGGAGAACTTCTGGCTCTTCCAACATTGATGAACTGCAATTCCCATCAGGAAGCATGGTCAATGGCTTGGGATGAGGGGGCTTATAGTTCAGCAATGTCTGGAGGACCACAGGTTCCCAACCTATGGGCTAAAGCAGGAGGGTGCCTTGCCTGGACTGAATATTCAGGTCCCCTGAGACTGCATCTGTTTTCACCATGGTCAACCAAGTGCTTTCATCACATTCTGGGATAACGTATTCAAGAACTGCAGAGCCATATTAGTCCCAAGAGTGGAAGATTGCATTTTGTCCACCCTTGTTCCTATGGACGCTGTTCTAGATGCTCTCAATATTATGAAGCAGGAATTAACAGGTCCCAGAAAGGGATGTCATTTCAACTTCAAGGTTGCTATACTGTTTGTTCTGCAACAGTTTTTGAGGAAGACAATGTTGTCTCCTATCCCCACCGCACAGCAGAAATTCCCCTCCTTAAGAGGTATGTTCAAGGAAGACATAAGGATGAAGCGCTTTGGTTGGTGGGGAGTCAGAGAAGCACGATGGTCTATTCTCTAAAAAAAGGGGGGGATAGGTAGTGCTTTTTCTGGGGGTACTCAGGGCTCCGCAGTACTGGCACCTCCCCCCCCATGTTAAAAGTGTGGCACTTACTGTAACAACTTCATGGTGAGTACCATCACCTTTTTTCTATTAAAAAAGCACTGGGAATAGGGAATTGGAAGTGCTATGCAACTTAAACAATGGAAAATGGAAAACATTTCTATAAATTTGAAATGGAGATTAAGCCTGCCGAAAATGTTGTTTTGGGTATATTGGACCCCAAAACATTTATTTATTTGATTTGCATTTCCTCCAAGGAGCTCAATGTGGCATTCATGGTTTCCTCCCTCCCCATTTTATCCTCAAAACAATCCATGAAGTCGGGTAGGCTAAGAGACAGTGACCAGTCCAAGATTACCCAATGAGTTTCATGTCTGAGTAGGGTCTTGAACCCAGGTCCTAGTCCAACCACGACACTACACTGGATCTTTATCTCAGGAAGGCACTGTCTAATACAGAAAGATACTGGAGGTGTAATGCTGGAAAGGCCTCATTGAGGCATATGATGTGGTCCTGTCCAGTGATAGTAATTCCCTGTTTTGTGTATCTCCTGTCTTCCATTGAAAATATCTCTCTATGACTCTTTCCAGGATGATGGGTTGTATGATCTGTTTGCGGTTGTTGCACACTCGGGATCAGCTAACTTTGGTCATTACTCTGCATACATTTGGAGTCTCACGGAAAGCAGGTGGTATTGCTTCAACGACTCGAGCGTCTGTCAGGTGAGGAAGGCAGCCTATATGTGGCGTTGTGCCTGCTTCCCTTCCCTTCCACCTCTCCCGGCAAAATCAGGGTCTGAGATCTAACCACAATGTGTGTCAGCGCATTGAAAAAGGTTGCAAGCCATGCTGGACGATGGTCCAAATCCAGACCTAATTGTGCACAAACAAGGAATGGGCATTTGAATGGATGTCAGAATGCACTTCCCATTCAAAGCCATGTAGCACTACAGATAGACACCTCTGATTTATGCTAGTGGTTCCTGATCCAGCTAGGGCCAGTTGTGAATAACGGTGCAATCCTATACATGTCTACTCAGAAGAAGGTCCCATTGAGTTATGGGACCGGAGTCTTGGGCAATTTTATAGATTTTATATATAAAACATGGGTTAATTGGCTTGAGTCTGAAGCAGCCCTAATTAAAAGATAACCAAGTCCAGTAGCAGCAAAAATTACATAGAATCATAGATTTGTGGAGTTGGAAGGGATTCCGAGGGTCATTTAGTCCAACTCCCTGCAATACAGGAATCTCAGCTAAAACATCCATGACAGATGGCCACCCAACATCTTTGGGTAATATTTAGAACAAGATGTGTGTAAAAGGTCTTAAACCTCTGCACAGTGGTCTGTGAAAAGATCTTTACTTTAAAAGTGAATTACACATCTGCTTAAAAGGTTAACCCAAGATTTTTTCAATTAAAAAAAAATACAGAGTCATCTATCAGCTGTGTAACAACTTATAATAATTCTCTTCGTCTATTATAAGAAAAAAAGTTTTAATATTAGCTCTATGTTTTATGTGCTTTTGCAATGGATGTGAGTGGGGTTTTGAATCTGTCTCATTCGCTTGCTCCCTGTACTGTGTATTCTGCAGGTATCCTGGGATGATGTCAAATGTACCTATGGAAAAGCATATCTCCGCTGGTAAGGCGGGCCGACTGTTTTTTCTCTTAATCCTACTGGAAGACCTGGGGGGCGGGTGCTGGAGGAAGCAGTGAAATGAGTATGGCTGGCTGTGTGGAAAACAAAATAAAAAAACCATTGCATTTTGGTTTGGAATGAGCTGGTTTCAAGATGAGCTTTTTCCACCCTAGGCATTTATTGTTGGGAAGAAATTGGATCAATGGTCCAACTAGGTATAGGGCATCTTCTTAATCCTGTGTACTCTGTTGGATAGAGATTTGAGGACTAACTACAGGTTGACCACTGTTGGGTTTTGACTTGCTTATTTTCTCCTTCCTGTAGGGGTGAAACAGCCTATCTTCTGGTTTACCTGAAAAGGAATTGTGGGAAGCTCTGATTTGATTGGCTCAGGGCAACCACAGGGAGGCTGCAATTTTTGTGTCCAGATTCTCCAAATACCAGATGACTGACTGTCCATCACATTTGTGCAGGAGAGTACAAGCGATACGTGAACTCAAAGCACCAGGAAGGGAGACCTTTTGGAAAGAAGGCTCAGAAACAACACACTTTTATCTGCAATCTGTCTTTGGAAGTTACACAGTGCCTCACTTTCAGACCCTCTGCAGCCGGCTAGTACAGGAGACAGGGCCAGTGGTTTAAGTGTCTTGAGACTTGTATTTTCATGAGGATACTGAGAATTGTTCTAAGAGAGCTTATACTCCCCTGCCACCACACACACCTCAACACACTTTTCATAAAACTAGTTCCCAGGATTTTCTGCACAGTTGAGCCAGCTTATATGCAACATAGAATTACCCTTCATCTCCCCATCCCAACCTCTCTGTTCTACCTCAGCCGTGACACTTCTTAGCTGCCCCTTTATAAAGCAGAACCTGCAGGGGGGTAGAGACGATGGCAGATCCTCGCATATCACATGCAATGGGCTTCTGGACCCAAGAAGTACAGAGGTTGCCATCTGCTGGGCATATCAAAACCAGCTGCAATATTCAGTCTCCTTTGCTCACACACTAACATGGAAGCATTTACTTATAGTAGGTGGTGCAATTTTATTTCAGCCATCTGCGTGTTAGATGTTTCTGGGTATGGGTGTCACTAGTAGATGGTGCAACTCATTTAAAAAATGACTTAAGCATTTGTCCTACACAGGGTTCAGGCACTCTTAAGCACATTTGATTTCAGTGACTTCAAAACAGGCAATTTAGCATGAGACCACACAATGTAGTTCTGTCTAGCACAGAAACATCTGTTTGGATAATCTTATTTTCCTAGTATAGATAGGAGTTGCATAGAATCTCCGTTAGCATCTTATGCCTTAGTCTAGAAGTTAACTGACATTGTTATTTGGTACATATTTTATATAAGCTGCTTGCATGAAAATAAATCAGTTTATTGTGAAGCAGCCCTGCTGTTGGCAGATTACCTCATTTCCCTTTAAATTAAATTGACAACTTGGAGAAATGTGCATTTCTTGCTATGCCACAGGAGTATTTGCTTTTATTTATTGAGTTTTTCTGTGTTTTGCCTTGCCTTGTAAGGCAGCCTAAATAAAATATCAAAGGGCTGCAATAACAACTCGAGACTAAGACTAATTTTTCCAGGCTATCAGCTAAACTATTTTATATTTATGCTCCCTGTATTGTATTTATGCTCACTGCTGGGAATACTTAATAAACCAACATGTGTGCCGTGCTAAATAGGTGCCTATGAAAACAATGTCGACGACAAAAATCCTCTTATTTCTCCTCCACTTCTGCAGATGAAATCAAAGAATCAACAACAACAACAACAACAATAATAATACCTTTATTGTCATTGTACATCCTGTGTACAATGAAATTAAACAAGCCCCCCCAAACATTCAATCTCTTATCGAACAACGCACCACCTCACAAGTCAATTGCGCTATGTTATTTTCCGTTCAACAGGCTAACAGCCCACAGATAGAAGCTATTTTTTAGCCTGTTGGTACAGCTGATTATCCTATATCTCCTGCTCGAGGGTAGAAGATTAAAGAGGTGATGGCTGGGGTGTGAGTCATCCCCGAGAATTTTTCTCGCTCTCCTAAGGCAACAATCCCTTGCAATGTCATCTAGCGGACTCAAGGCACAGCCCATGATATCATGTGCTGTAGTCACCATCCTCTGTAGAGACCAGGGCAGCATACCACACTGTGATACAATATGAAAGGACACTTTCTATTGTGGACCAGTAAAAGGAGTTCATCAGTTGTTGTTTAACATTATTCTTTTGCAAGACCCTGAGGAAATGGAGTCTCTGTTGGGCCTTTCTGACCACCTGAGTTATGTTGATTTTCCAGGTGAGGTCCTCACTAAGGTAAACTCCCAGGAATTTAAAGGAGGAGACTCTCTCCACACACACCCCGATATACAACGGGGCAGGTTCCCCTCTCTTCCTCCGGAAGTCCAACACCATCTCCTTTGTCTTACTAATATTTAAGTGCAAGTTATTCTCTAAGCATATTGATGAGTTGCCAGCCACTGTCTCATAAGATCATTTCACACAGTACATAGTAACCACCCCAAGTTTGCCACTGAATGCCCACTCAGCAGGGAGGCTGAAAGTCGATCCTGCATTCCCAGTTTATGCACATGCAGAGAAAATCAAATGAGATGATATCTCTAAATATGGGTTGCTAGCCCACTACCAGTTCCACTCCTTCCTAGAGGCTTCTAAATACTGCGTGGAACATCCTGGAATTCTCTCAATGGTACTATAATTGGCTTTACTAGGGGCAGTTTCAAGGGCAGTTGTAAAACAATGCATAGGGCCAGTTTAATTTCCCACAAAAGGAAATTATGCATTGGCTGAAGGGAGCATAATTTTTTTTGTTTTGTTTGTATGAGATCCATTGGTTGTCAGTTTGTTTCTGGGCAAAAAAAATGAATTCAGAGTAATGGCACATACCTTTAAATCCCTTTACAAATATACTCAGAAACAGAGTAGCAACTAAAATATGTCAGATCTTTTCTTCCTTTTGCTCTTGCAGTATGAATTCTCGCATGAACCACTTTTATGTATCCATATGCATACTATTTGAATATGACTTGCATTTCCGCTTTTGAAAAGCTCATGTTTTTGTGAAGGCCATCAATGGCTTTCATATCCTCCTCAGACAGCTGGAAAGTAAATGCCTGTCAGGGGGAGAAAAAATAATGCTGAGGTCCTTTTACCTCATGTCTTCTTTTTGCATCTCAGAGCTGTGCACCTTTTTCCAGCAACAAAGATACCAAAGCGAACTTTGCTACCACTTTCCAAAGTTTATTTCCTTCATTTAACAGCTTCAGCCCAGATGTCCTCCCACTGAGGGAATTTTATATGCATAGCAATGTAGGTTTGCAATAGAACAGGAGTGGGGAAACTGTGGCCCCCCAGATGTGGATGGACTCCAACTCCCCATCAGTCTCAGCCATCATGTCCAATGGTCAGGGATGAGGGAGGTCATACTCCAGCGAATGTAGTTCAGTACTTCTTCTTGCAGTTCATAGCTAAACTATTGAACTTGCTTCCATGAGAGACAGTGACAGCCACCAACTTGGATGGCTTTAAACATTAGACAAATTCATGGTAGATAAGAATACCAATAGTAGTGTTGGGCGTCAGAGAATCCAACTCCCCATAGTAGGTTGCCAATAATGGATAAGACAAGGAAGTTCTTGCCAATGTTGTTTATTCAATAGTCATAGAGAGAGGCTTAGAAATTCAGCCTCTTGTAGTACAGTGGTACCTCAAGTTACATATGCTTCAGGTTACATAGGCTTCAGGTTACACACTCCACTAAGCCAGAAATAGTGCTTCAGGTTAAGAACTTTGCTTCAGGATAAGAACAGTAATCGTGCTCCGGCGGTGGGGCAGCAGCAGGAGGCCCCATTAGCTAAAGTGGTGCTTCAGGTTAAGAACAGTTTCAGGTTAAGTACGGACCTCTGGAACGAATTAAGTACTTAACCCGAGGTACCACTGTAATGGTTTTTTCTCCGAGTAAATCTTCCCTTCTCCCCAATCGTCAACAGCACCACCCACCTTACAGTTTCCACTTAGGGCCATCTGTCTCAGAGCCCTTTGCTCTCCTACTTTTAAGATCGCCGGGTTCTGGGAGAAGGGGTGTGTGGAAGGCTTTCTAGTGATAACGTGTCAGCCAGTTGCTCTGGCTCTGCTTCCTCCTCTCCTCCTCATCCATCATTTCCCATCTTTGCCCCTCATCTGCCTCTCATCTGTGACCATCTGCAAACCACTGTTGTAAATCTATACTGTCTTCCTCATCTCTGGAAGGGTCAGGCTGGGGAGGCGGTCTCCACCATTACTCCTCCTGTCCATTCCCTGACAGGTAGCTAGTCATGATGGTTGCAACTTTGCCCTCATGGCTGGAAGCAGTGATTCTTCTGAATACCCACTGCTGGAAACTCCTCCAACATCTTGAGTTCATCTTCCCTCCCACACGAGTTATATGACCCATGAGATAACAGTGTCCAAATGGCGGGCTTTTTCCGTATTGTTTTTTTAATGGATTTATATATACTGATTTACCTGGGCATTTTCCTCAATTCGCTTTCTGGTGTAGGTCTTCACTAGGACCACCAGGCCGCGCTGCAGTTGGTAGCGAATAGCCACGAGAGCTGGGGTTTTGTTGTACTTCTTGGCGATCGCAACCAACAAAGGGTCTTCAAGCAGGGGAGGAGCATCTGGATTTAACCTGTTGGAGAGCAACATGTGGAGAAGGTGTGTTTCTGGTGTCAAGATGCACAAATGTACACGCACAACTATAGGATGGGGGACACTAGGCTTGACAGCAGTATGTATGAAAAGGATCTAGGGGTCTTTGTAGACCACAAGCTTAACATGAGTCACAGTGTGATGCAGCAGGAAGAGATGCTAATGCTATTCTAGGCTGCATCAGCAGAAGTATAGTGTTCCCATCAAGGGAAGTAATAGCAGCACTCTATTATGCATTGGTCAGACTTCACCTGGAATACTGTGCCCAGTTCTGGACTCCACAGTTTAGGAAGGATATTGACAAGCTGGAATATGTGCAGAGGAGGGTGAAGAAAATGATAAAATATCTGGAACCTGAGCCACATGAGGAATGGTTGAAGGAGCTAAGAATGTTTAGCATGGAGAAGGGTAGACGGACAAGTGATGTGGTAACCATCTTCAAATATCAGAAGGGCTGCCTCATGGAAGATGGAGCTCGCTAGTTTTTTATTGCTGCAGAGGGTAGGATCAAAATCAATGGATTCAAATTACAAGAAAGGAGATTCTGACTAAAAATTAGGAAGAACATTCTGGCAGTAAGAGCTGTTCAACAATGGAATGGACTCCCTGAGAGGGTAGTGACGAGGGGTGGTATATAAATCTAAGTAACTAAGTAAGTATTTTGCATTTGAAGGTTGGTTGGTTTATTTGAATTGAATTAACTTTTTAGTATCCCTTCCTCCTCAATAAGTTGCAGCCAGAGTGGGAACCCCAAGCTTTGCATAAGTACAAAAATGTACTTGGGGGCAGGGGTAACTAAGAAAGAAGAGAAAAGCCCCAACAGGCCAATGGGGATGGTGTCTGCTTAGTGGGTAACGAATCCTGAGTACCTGTTGGAGAGAAAATATGGAGCATTGGGGCGGGAGGCCAAATGTAATGGAGTCTCCTGGAAGAAGGCACGGCTCACTGGACTTAAGCCAGAACTCAGTATTGCAAAGTTTTGTTGCTGGTCCCACTTGTGAAAAATAATCATTAGAGTGGCTTCCAACATTGATGAAAACAACAGAACTCAAAATTCTGAAACATGGGGAACAGGCTATGTAAAAAGTGAAATGCTATAATAATTTAAATGCAAGGCTGGATGCAGGGCCCTTTCATTCCTGCCATTCTACTGCTTAAAGCACCATTAAACATAATATAAATATGATTTATAAACAGCACAAAATTTCAGAAGCAGAAATTATTAAATATCCCCCTGCCTGCAACATTTAAAAACATACATTTGGGAGAAGTCAAGCAGTATATATGTGGGAAGGTTTCTGAGAATGTCTAAAATGGGAGGGGAAGAGCTTTGTAGATCTCTCTGTGGAATGATTTCCCCAATTGTGGGGCCACTACAGAAAAGGCCCTGGTGCTGGAATCCACGATGAAGATCTTTATTAATTATGGGTCCAAGATTACAATCTTCAGAGCTGATCTGGATGCTGGGGAATAGTGGGCCTAGGTGGTCCCTGAGGTGGTCCCCAAACGTTTTGGCTTCATCTCTTACCAGCTAGGGTCTCTTTGGGATCCCAGGACACAATATCCTTCTAGGATGATATCATTTGACTTGCAGAAGGCCAGCAGCTTGCTTTGGTTCCGATAAGGATGGCATTCAACCTGCAGATTCAAAATCCCCCAACGCAACCCAAAAGTGAGAATTCAGATGAAACAAAGAATACCGTGAAATAAAAGAAAGGCAGAAAAGCAGAAACATGCTATTGTTTCTCAAAAAATCCGGCTGTTACCTTTCTTAAAGTGTACTGTGTCTTCTGATGCATCAGAATCTTTAGATGACCACTCTTGCATTTGTGGTTTCCATTGCCACGCTCCTTGTCCGTGAAATATGTGTTAACCAAAGATGGGGGACAAGGCTTATTCTCCCACAATCTCTTGTCACTCCAGCCCTGTTGGAAATATTCTGGGCACACTGTCCTGCCTGCAGTGTATCTATTCCTGCCCACTCACTCTCTGAATTTTCAATTTTGAGCAGAAAGGTCTGATGGGGGTTTTACCTGGTTTTCCATAAACTTGAGCAGATGATCTGCGACTCTGTTTTATCAGGGTCTCAAAAAAATGAAATTTCAAATCAGATTGGGAGAGGAGACATCAAAAAATAAAATCGGTGCTGAGGGGGGCACAAGACTTTTCAAAGGGGGCAGTTTTATCTCACATGTAAGGAAGTAATTATATAGTTTTAAATACTCCTCCCTGTGTAAATGCATTTTGTGAAAAGTGTCTGTTATTGAAGTCACCACTGTGACTCAGCAATGGCGGAAAGTACGGGGGGAGGACATAAGAACTAATTGTCTGGGGGGACTGTATTCCCACCCTTCCCTCTCTACTACCTTCTATGAATTGGATAGTGCATCAAGTCTGGGCAGACGGTACAAAGAAGCCCCGATTTAAGTGGGTCTATCTGTACCACTAAGGATGCGGGTGGCGCTGTGGATTAAACCACAGAGCCTAGGGTTTGCCGATCAGAAGGCCGGCGGTTTGAATCCCCGCGACGGGGTGAGCTCCCGTTGCTCGGTCCCTGCTCCTAGTCATGCTGACCACATGACCTGGAAGCTGTACGCCGGCTCCCTCGGCCAGTAAAGCGAAATGAGCGCCGCAACCCCAGAGTCGTCCACGACTGGACCTAATGGTCAGGGGTCCCTTTACCTTTTTATCTGTACCACTGTCTCTGTGGTACTGGGAGATCATGGCTGCACCCATCTCATTGTCAGTCCATCACTCCTGCTTAGCTACCAGATTGCATGCCTTGGACTAGCGTGCTCTGGTCTCATTTGGTTACATAATATACACCAATGTCAGGGCTGCTTGGGTGCAACAGCTTTGCCCAGATGCCTAATTCAAAGGCCCTTCTCTCCCCACTTGAGAACTTCCAGAGTCCCCACAAGAGGCTGTCTGGGCCCTGACGGCTTGCAGGCCTCCTTCTACCTGAGATGCCTGTTTCAGACATTATGGACTTCTCCATGCTTTCTTTTTTTCGGAGGATTCAGAGGTTTTGATTAAATGAGAACCCATTACTGGTTCCAGGAATTTAGGGGAGTCCACCACACAACTCATATCTTCTTGTGACTGGATTGGCAACCTGATAGCCTTAAGGAAGTTTTTTCAGGGAATGGCTGTGTTCCTCAAAACAAAGGTCCTCTCACAAAAGAGCTTAAAGAAGCTTTCAACCGTGCTTGGTACAAACCCCTACAAAAGGCAATCACACTTGACCTGGTTTATCACTGGCTTGTATTTCAATCCTGGCTTGTTCAGGATCATTTCCAGCTGCTTACGGGTGAAGTTGGACACTCCGATGGACCTCACCAAGCCGGCATCTTTGCACGCCTCCATTGCCTGGCAAAGAAAACACGACATGTTTGTTGAGTGGTGTTTGTTGAATAGCTGAGGCCACACCTTTTTCCAGATTAAGACTGGAGGCTTATAGTTCACCAGCTCTCATAGGAGCCATTGTGTGAGTCATTGTTCTGGACATGCCTCCTCTGGTGGAAGGCTACTGTGCTCTGTATCTGAATGACTCAAGGGATGGATTTGCTAATCCCAGGCACCTACCTCCCATGTCTGCCGAAGATCTACGTTGTCAAAAACTGGTTTTTTGTCTTCTCCCATGGGAAATAAATCTGGTCCAGGCTGGAAAAGAAGGAGGCGGAGGGAATAAGTGCAGGTCAGGCCTAGAGGTTCTCTTATCTCTGTAATATTATTTAATACTAATGGACAGTGATAGAAAAAGGGAGATAAACTTGCAAGGGTCGATACTACAGTGCAGGGATCTGTGGGAAACCCAAATCACAAGCACTACATTTGACATTATTCAAGAAGGATAAAGCATTACTTTAGCCAGGAAAAAATATTTACGTTGCAATATTAACTCAGTATTGTCTCTTTTAACCCAGGGGTGGGAATCAGTGGATCTCCAGGCTTTGCTGGCCTCCAAGTCCCATCAGTTGCAGCCAGCAAGGACAATGATCAGGGATGATAGGAGTTGCAATTGAGCAACATCTGGAAGGCCACAGGTTCCCCAAACATGCTTTAGTTCTTTCTGTGCCCCATAGAACAAACTGTCTTCTCTCTCTGCACAGGTCCTCATCTCTCCATCCCCTTTTTTCTTTCCCTTACTCCCTCGTTGTTAGACAAATTTGCCCCAGGGATCCTCACCAGAGGGAGTCAATTGCTCTGTGAGAAGAAGGAGTCGGAAACTGAGATCAGGCAAAACCAAAAGCTGTTTATTCTCGAGATAGCGCTGTACGGGTAACGCCCCAGCTTGTGCTGTAAAGAGGGCTCTGTCTTGTTTACATCAAAGGTACTTTATACCCATCCAAATTTCCCTCCTACACAGGGGCGTAAGAAGGGGGGGTGGGCTGCCCAGGTGCCATCACGTAGGGTATGTGTGACAAATTATCAAGGAACAATTACTGCCCTACTGGGGCGGTTCGTAAAAAACTTTTTTTTTTTGAAAATGCCTGTTCCAAAGGTCTTATATTACTACACTAGGGATTATATAGCTATATAAGGAATTTCATGTATATCAGTTAATATCTTGACCCTCCTTCACAAAAATAGCTGTTTACTTGGCCGTTTTCTTATGTCGTAAAGGCTGAAATTTCAATTCAGTGTTTTCCTTTTCAGATAATACAGATAATGGTGAAATCACAATAAATAAAAACCTCCCCTTCAGTAGTTTCATGCACTCCTACAAGATCCACATAATATCTGTACTGCATTGTTTAGTGTGACAGCACCTGCACTTTGGAACACCATGCCTATTGCAATAAAGCACGTGCCTTTGCCAGACTCTTCCCGGGCACCTGCTAAAAGCATTCTTATTTAGGCAACGATACCTAGATGCTTAGGAAGTTGAAGTAATTTTAATCTTAATATTTTAGCTTTTGTATGTTTTAAAGTAGGGTTGTTAATTTCTCTTGATTTTATTGCTGTGGTTTTTTTTGTTTGTTTGTTTTGGTAAACCACCTTGCAGGTTTTTAAAAATAAATTTTATTAAATAAATGAACAATAAATATAAATAAAACAACACAAGCCAAAACACAATCCATCCTGTAGATTTAAGTATCTGTCCACAGTCGCCTACTTGTTATCAGAGGCCCAGAATCCACATTCCTTTGTAAGAAAATATGAAATAAAGTCAAACCATTTTTGCAGGCAAAATAAATAAATAAATAAATAAATAAATAAATAATAATAATACATAATACATACATACTAATGTGTGTGGGTGTGGGGGGTGACAAGAAATTTTCCGTACTGGTTACCACCTGACCTTCCTACGCCTGTGCTCCTACATTCTCCTATTGGTTAGGAGATTGCAGTTTACAGACTTCCTGGTCCGCCTATTTCATATTTTCCCCTTGATATACAGTGGTACCTCGGGTTACAGACGCTTCAGGTTACAGATGCTTCAGGTTACAGACACCACAAACCCAGAAATAGTACCTTGGGTTAAGAACTTTGCTTCAGGATGAGAACAGAAATCGTGCGGCAGCAGCAGCAGGAGGCCCCATTAGTTAAAGTGGTACCTCAGGTTAAGAACAGTTTCAGGTTAAGAACGGACCTCCGGAACGAATTAAGTTCTTAACCCGAGGTACCACTGTATAGCCCTTTTAAGCATACACAATAGCTTTCTAACTGTTCTCCATTTTCCTTCATGGTCCCAGGTCACCCACAAACCGTCCTAATACTTTATAAGGCATTATGTTTTGGCTATTACGAGTTTTCTCTTTCTTTGCAATGCAAGTAGTTACAACAGCAAGGCACGGTCATTTCTGCTAAGCTTTCCTTACCCGTTCATCCTACACTTGCCAAGTCTGGCTCTGCACATGATTTCTTTCTTATGATGCCCATGTGGTTAATGTAATCACTATATGCAGATGTTTTCTTTAACTGGCATGGTTTCGCCTCCAAAATCTGGGAGTGATCATTCTTTGATTGAGATATGTTCTAACAGAGAATTGTCAGCATCTCTAGGAAATGACAATTCCCAATGTTCCTTCAGGGAATAAAATATTTTTAGTAGGCTCTCCCCCCTCCTCCCCCCAATTCAAATATTGTACTCAATACTTGCATTATGACATCAATAATTATTTACCTTCATAGAAAATGGATTGTGAATTATGAACAGATCCATGTAGTCAAACTGGAGTTTCTTCAGCGATTCTTCTAAGCATTTCCGAACCAGCTCAGGGCGGTGGAAGGTACTCCAAAGCTGTCAAATATATAAAGAGATTATATTTTCACAGAGCCCATAGAGTTTTCGGGTCTCGGGACCATATAGCTGCGGCAGATGACTATTCTAGTGTGCACAGTGTTAAGTCAAATATTGTTCTGAAGAGTATGTTAAATTGCTGTGGTGAGGTAAAGTAATTAAAAAAATCCTTATTGCTAATAAACAATATTTTTACCATTTATTTATTAAATTTCTATATTGCCCTTCATCAAAAGTTCTCAGGGTGGTTCACAAGATAAAAGCACAAGATAAAAGCACAAATAAATAGTCAAAACAGAATCCCTCTTCCCACAAACAGGTTTAAAAAGGGTGTAGAATATGAATCAGTCCAAGGCCTCGTTAAAGGGGAACATTTTCACCTGGTGCCTAGAGGTGTATAATGAACCTCCTTGCAGAGAGCATTCGCCCAACAGGGAGCCATGCAGAAAAGGCCCTGTTCTTGTTTTGCCTCCCTCCGAGCCTCACATGGAGGAGGCATACAAAGAAGAGCCTCAGAGGATGAACACAGACTCTGGGTAGGTTTATATAGGGAGGGGCATTTTCCTCTGATTTTGTTAAATAATGTCTGTGAAATTGCATCATGATGCAGGCACTATATTCTAACCTTGAAAATAAAAAATAAAAAATACCAAACTCACTTTTCCAGTGTAGAAAATATCTTCCCTTTTGACTGTTCCATCTGAAATCTTTGCACGAACGGCCCTCCCAACGTGCTCCTCAGTCTGATATACATATGCGCCATCAATATGACGGAAGCCGACTTCTATTGCTGTCTTTGTAGCCTCCTCACACTTACTTTTTGGAACCTGCCAGTTGAAAAGGTGAAAAAGTTAGTCAAGGTCTTTGCTTCAGTGGGGAAATTTATATCAAAGGGTACCTGTAAGTCACATTTATGTGTGTGTTGTATGTTCGATATAATATTTTGCCACCAGATGGTGACATGGAGTCCTGTTTTTAACTACCTGTTTTCCCTGTTTAAATTTACAACACTTTAAACTGAAACACTTATTTGATGCGTGGAGATCCAGCCCTGATTGTGCCTGGGTCCTCTCCAGGGTGGAGGTCCTAAGATAGTTGGGTGGCGCATCGCAAGCCTCGTTGTGGCAACTCTTGCAGCCAAGGTGGCGCCAAATGTCTTGCTCTGCTTCCCACTGGGTCATATCAGCGAGGATGAGAGAGAGGCCTTTTCATCTGGGCAGCCCAGGACCTCCATACTCACTGCCCAGGCTTGCACCCCAGAGAGGTCACTTTAGTGCTGCTAACACAGCAGCTTGACTTTCCCCTGGAGGCACACTTCATTGTGTCTTAGGACAGACAGATGCCAACAAAAAGGATGGAGGGGTTCACATCATTGACTTGCTTCTCCCACGGCCATAGCCTTGGATTCCAGCAGAAATCAGGCTTGGCTCCATCTCTCAGCTGCCCAGCCTGTTTTCTGCTTCCAACTCCTGGATCTCTCTCTCTCACACACCCTAGTTTTTGTCTTTCTAACTACCCACCCATTTGCCCTCTGGCAAAGAGCTGCTTCATTCATTACCATAACTATTCATATTTAAGGGGCCATTTCCAAGAGATTTGCATACCTGTCTCTTCATCAGCATGTATCTTTTTGTAGAAAATAGATTCTACCCTCACTTAGTATGTGAATAGAGCGGACATATGAATTGGAAAAATGGAAAAAGGAAAATTCCTTCGAAAAACTGAGTGGTTGCTTTTATTTGGTAAATTCATGATGTTTCTAGAAATTAATTTGATTACAAAACAAGAACGTACATTGATTCCCTCAATTTGCGTTGCTGGTGATATGGAATGGACCAAATGAAGACAGTTTGGATAAAGAATTGATTCTATATGTATTGTTAGTGTCCAGGATAGTTAGCTAATGCCTGGTAATTTTGGATAATATTGTTACTCCCAACAAAACTAATAGTGGGCACTTATGGTTCTATGGATAGATTTTTTAAAAATATCCCTAGAAAATATCACTAGAAATTTTGCATTGGGGACTTTGAACCCTGCAGCAATTCACACTGGAAACTGTTTCTCAGCTACAAACCATTCTTGGCTGCTGTGACCCAAGAAGTTCTCATGCACAATTGGCTTCTCAGATCAGGTGAGGCATCGCATGCGGTGCTTTGCAATGTATGAAGCACCCAGCAGCTGGCAGGCATTTTGCTCTTCAAAAACAAGTTACAACAATCTGAGAGTTAAATGTTTTACTTACAGCATCCGGGGAATAGGTTCCAAACCCCAATATGGGGATTTTGTTCCCATCATTCATTGTAATGCCACGGTCTTTGCTAAGTGCCATTTTCTGCTTCTATGCTTGTTCAGTTCTTGGCTCCAGGCTGAAACTGATCAACACTTGTAGGAAAAAATCGAGTGAGAAGAATGAAGTTCCTGTTTCCAATGAAATGTCTTCTGTTGGCACGATAGGAGGGGAGTGTCTATGCAAATGCCCTGAAGAAATGAGAGAGAAGGGCGGGGAAACTTCCTAACCTATGCCCAAATTTTTATCGGTAACTTTCAGCAGAATGTCCTTTGGTACACCAGCAGCTTTCCTTGCTGACATCTCAGCATTGCTTTCACAGAATAGATAATAGCTATCTTCATCTTATTCTTCTTGTTCTTCTTTGCCTTCCAATAAAGGAAAGCAGAGGGGTGAGCAGACTTAAGCATTTGTCCCACGCAGCGTTCAGGCACCCTTAAAAAACTCTTGTATTTTGATAGTGGAAAAAAAAAAGCCAAGGAATAAAAATATTATGTTTAAAACAAAATTTACATACATTATTGCTAATGATTTATATTTTAATTTATTATAATCTTTTAGCTAGCATATTGCCCTTTGTGTGTTACGTAATGCCTGTGAAATATGCATTTTAAGGAAACATCTTCCTTGGACATGATGAAAGGGAAGTGACTAAGCCAGTGTTCTGTTGAAGCTAGAAAGAAGGGCAGGGACACTCCCTATCTTGCTCCAGACTTTGGATTAATTTGATTCCAACGAAGAGTTGCAGTGCTTACAAATGGCACATGTTAACTATACCGAAGTTTCTTAATTTTCACCACAGTGTCTTCCGAAACACCAATGGCTTTGATTGGTGACTTAGCATTGCTTTTGCCGGGCAAATGATAGTTGACTGATGGGGGAGAAAAGATTTTATCTCTTTATTATTAATATTGTTCTGATAAAACTATTTAGAGACCTGTCATAAACTTTGACATGTTAACTGTTAGACATGGGAGAAGCAGGCCTCAAAGCTAAGCAGATCTCCAGGCAGAGGTATTGAAATGAAACAAATATACTCAGAAACAAAATAGCCAGTGAAATATGTGGAGGCGTCTGTTGACTTAATAAAGCAGAATGCTCAGTATGCCAAAGGAGGGGGAAAAGGATGTAACAGACCCTCCAAGTGTCCCTATTTTCCAGGGACAGTCCTAGATTAACAGAAGCCATCCTGGTTTCTGATTTGATCCTGGAATGTCCCACTTTTCCTTAAGGTAAAGGTAAAGGGACCCCTGACCAATAGGTCCAGTTGTGGCCGACTCTGGGGTTGCGGCGCTCATCTCGCTGTTTTGTCCGAGGGAGCCGGCATACAGCTTCATGTGGCCAGCATGACTAAGCCGCTTCTGGCGAACCAGAGCAGCACACGGAAACGCTGTTTACCTTCCTGCTGGAGCGGTACCTATTTATCTACTTGCACTTTGACGTGCTTTCGAACTGCTAGGTTGGCAGGAGCAGGGACCGAGCAACGGGAGCTCACCCCATTGTGGGGATTCGAACCACCGACCTTCTGATCGGCAAGTCCTAGGCTCTGTGGTTTAACCCCTATTTTTAACGGAGGGTATGGAGTTCTTAAGTCTGGCATTAAAATTAATTCCCCCCCACTCTGAAAGGGAGTTCTTAAGTCTGGCATTAAAATTAATTCCTTTTAGCTCAATTTTCCGGGTTCTTAGTTCCAACAGTCTTTGATTTAGTTCTATCTACAAAACCGGAAGACGGACTTCCTTTTTGTGCCTTCCCGCTTCAGAGCCAAATTCAAGTTCTTAATGCTGATCAAAGGAGCAGCTCCTTTGATCTTTACATCTTTGTAAAATCTTACTCAGGGGTTGTAGTTTAAAAGCCGAATTTTTCCAAGGAAAAGAGGTCAGCGCTCTCCGGCAACAGCTGCTGCGGCTTCACTCCACAGAAGTAGCGATCGACTCTCAGTGCCTCACCACCCCCGTTCCGCTCCGGAGCCCCTCGCAGGGTCCCTTTGCCACTGGGGAGGGCGCTTCTGGCACCCGCCGAGTCCCACGGCCAATGGCTTTCCCCGCCTGCGGTTTTTTGAAGGGTCTCCGCTGCGCCATAGCGGATAGACCCGATTTCTGCGGAGCTTCTCCCCCTTAGTTAGAAGGAGACCGCCATTGCCGTTGGCGCCGCCTCCGGAAGGAGATTAACTGTACAAACTTTAGAAGCCATCTGAAAGCAGCCCTGTGTAGGGAAGTTTTTTAATGTTTAATGTTTTTATATATGTTGAAAGCCGCCCAGAGTGGTTGGAGTAACCCAGTCAGATGAGTGGAGTTGGCTCCTATGCCTGAGTCACTTAGTCAAGGTGCTGAAATTTCTCTATTAGCAAACCTTAAGTTCACCAAATGGGACTACCCAGGATACCCTAAGGAGAAGACCAGGCTATTGCATTCCTATCTTTACAGTGTGGATACGAGTTCTGATGATGGCAATCCAAGCTCAGATGAAAGCTGCCACAAATACAACTCTACCCTTCCTTGTCTTATTATTTCAAGCACTTGTACCAATGCATATATTGCTAGATAAAGAAATAGCATTGTTTGTCCTCTTTCTGACTAAATAGGCTTTGCAGATGTACAGACATCTTTAGTACCTACATCTTTAGGTGACAGCCCCTTCATAGTACCACAGTTTTCAGGGGTCCCTGGGCAGAGGGAATGACCAACACTGTATTTATTGGAGGGGGAACACAGGGGAGTGTAGATCCATCACCTTTTCCACAGCAGATGCAATGGCCTCATCAAATGAAGTTACCGGATAACTGATGGAGCTTTCTTGGTCTGACAAGTTAGTGATGTGGTAGAAAGGGTTTCAGAATTCTCTTTTGTTTGTGATGCAATAGATTAGCATAGAATAAATTAGAGAATGGGAAAAACAATGTAGCAGAGGCTGTATACTTTATTTTCTTTAATGAGGTTATGGCTTCACGAGAGAGGTTTAAATGGTAATGCTTTTTTGCAAAATTGTATGCATTTCTACATGAAATCTATGGGTTGCCTGTCAGTTGTCTGAAGATGATTAAAGCTCAATCTGTTTAAAATTCAATAGAGTTATATGACTGTCAGCAGATCCTAATGAAATATTATACTATATACTGAAGCTCTTTTGGGGTGTATGCATGCTGGTGTATATGAGGATCTGCCTGCATTTCTGGACAGTGCATATGGATGTGCCTATAAGCTTCCACACTTCTAAATTTGCCACTCCAGCACAGGGAATGCTTATTAAACCAATATGTGTGCAGTGGAAACTGGTAGCTCTGAAAGTGTCAACAACAAGGTTCCTCGTATTTCCCTATTTCTCCTTTACCTCCAAATTAAAGCCAGGAATTATTTGCAAAGCTCTGTTAGAGCAGATTTAACTTTTGCTGAAACATATTTTTGATACTGTGAGTGCAATGGAACTATGGTGGTTCCTAAGAATTGGAGATCAATTAGAGATGGGAGACGAGTCCTTATTCCACATCTGGTGGGTAATACTCTGGGTGACCAGCAAAGCTGAAACAAAGAAAAGAGAGTCAACACTCAGGGTGTGGAAGATGTACAAGCAACAAAAATTGATCTGTTGCCAGCCATTGCCTCATGAGACCATTTCGCACAGTGCATTATAAGCTCCCCGAGTTTGCCATCAAATGCCCACCCTGCTGAATATCTGGGAGGCTGAAAGTCAAAATGGTCCACCATACTGCAATCTAAAACTTGCAATATCGGGATGATCATATGTCCGTCTTCTCACTAGAGATATTAACCCCTAGATGATGAACACAGCCCTGATTGCTGATCAAAGTGGTACAAAAGGGTTGGGTCAAAGGTCTCTCTCCTCTTCCCCAGCGTCTTTTCGAGACTTTCAGGTAGGGGCAGAAGGACAAATGCTGTTTTGGGAGTTCCTTGCTGGCAGTAATGCATGAGGCAGCCATCCCCCCCCCAAAAAAAAATATTGCTCCTGGGAATGTCTGCACATCATTGTATGGCATTGGTCTCCAGGGTATTTGGAAGCCTGTCTAGCATGAAATAGAACTAGGATAGCTCATTCGGTAGAGCTTGGAAACTCTTAATCTCAGGGCCATGGGTTTGAGCCTCATGCTGGGCGAAAGATTCCTGCATTGCAGGGGGCTGGACTAGATGACCCCCGTGGTCCCTTCCAAGTCAACAATTCTATGATTCTGCAACATGGACACTTGTCCATAAACTTGCACCCCACTCCAACAATGCATGGGGATTCATACAAAGTTTCCACAGTTATTCCTTCTATAATTTCACCTAATTCTCTATGAAGAGAAGAGATGGATGCCAGATCTTTTCTTCCTTTTGCTCTCGCAGTATCAATTCTTACGTGAACCCATTTTATGTAACCATATGCACACTATTTAAATATGACTTACATATCCATTTTTATGAAGCTCATGCTTTTGTGAAGGCCATCAATGGATTTCATATCCTCCTCAGACAGCTGGAAAGTAAATGCCTGTCAGGGGGAGAAAATAAAATGCTGAGGTGCTTTTACCTCATGCCTTCTTTTTGCACCTCAGAGCTGTGCACCTTTTTCCAGACACAGAGAAACCAAAGCGAACTTTGCTACCACTTTTCAAAGTTTAATTCCCTCATTCAACAACTTCAGTCCAGATGTCCTCCCACTGAGGGAATTTTATATGCATAGTATGGAACAACTGATTGGTTCCAAATTGGGAAAGGAGTACGACAAGGCTGTATTTTGTCTCCCTGCTTATTTAATTTATATGCAGAATACATCATGCGAAAGGCTGGGCTGGATGAATCCCAAGCTGGAATTAAGATTGCCGGAAGAAATATCAACAACCTCAGATATGCAGATGACACAACCTTGATGGCAGAAAGTGAGGAGGAATTAAAGAACCTTTTAATGAGGGTGAAAGAGGAGAGCGCAAAATATGGTCTGAAGCTCAACATCAAAAAAAAAAAAAACACAAAGATCATGGCCACTGCTCCCATCACCTCCTGGCAAATAGAAGGGGAAGAAATGGAGGCAGTGAGAGATTTTACTTTCTTGGGCTCCATGATCACTGCAGA